TTGCCCTTGCCTTCTTCTGTGTGTGAATGGAGTAATTGTTGGGATGCCACGGAGGAAAACTCCGTGTTGCCTAGACCACGGCCTTGCCCAACACAAGTTATAAATTCGGGCACCGCCGGGAATCGAAACCGAGACCCCAGGATTACGATGCCAGCGTTCTAACCGCTAGACCACCGTGGCTAATGACCACCACTAACACATTATAATATTTTGTTATTGTTCTGTTCTTTTCCTTGTCACGCTCGGTGTTTTTGTTATGTTATTGTGTCATCATCATCATCATCATTGTCATTATTATTATTATGCAGTGCAGCGAAGAAGCAGGCTCTAGTATTTGCAGCCATCTTCTCCTTCTCTCAAGCTGTTATATACGCTATGTATGCCGGTGCTTTCCGATTTGGTGCCTATCTTATTGAGATTGGCGATATGGAAGCTGTTGATGTCTACAGGTTAGTAAGTCTGGATTAGATGAAATATTATCAGCAGGTATTTTTTGCTGGTATGGGAAGAAATGTAAAATAAATGTTTACTGATATGTTCGATTTTTGCATGTTTAACCTCTTTACCTTTAAAGATCTGTGACATAATTCAGTCCCAGTAAAGTAAGTATTTCTCACGTACTGAAGTGCATTTGCAACTGAAATGTGTAAATATGCACGTACTAGCTTCATCATATCTGTCCGCATTTAATAACCAGAGAACCTCTGATTGGATTTTTGTGAAACTTGTTAATGGGGAGATTTATTAAAATTTTCCAACATATTATAGTTTTATTGAAAATCAAATAAGAAGACCTACATAGGAATTCCAAGTTATCTGCGTATCGTGGGATTCTCCAGACAGCCCAGACACTTTTGTCGTCACTGGTAATATTCAGAAATATCAAAGGTCAAATTGTGGTGAATGTAGATATGCATTATATGTTTCTTAAATTAAGCACAGATTTGATTGCTTTAATGTGTAGACATTCACAAGTAACTTCTGCCATTGAGTCAACTCTAAAATAATTACTCAGTTAAACTCGTAGCTCTTCTGTACTGTCTCATATTTTTTTCTAATACGAGAGCAGAACAGAGAGTAACCGAATATCATTTTCCCCTAAACTGCATTAATTTGGAAGTTCATTCATGAAACAAATGAAGATTTGTGGCAAGAATGAATTATGAAATTGCATATTGAAGACATTTATCCATTGTTAATGATTACTGTAATCTGTCAGTTTTGAATTTGTAATAGTATAAAATGCAGTGCAATGTGTATTGACAGCTGTGTTAATTTTTCGAATACAGAGTGTTCTTCGCCCTCGCATTCTCTGCACAGTCAGTTGGCCAAACAACAGCCTACCTTCATGATTACACTAAAGCCAGACTTGCAGCAGAAAAGCTGTTATACTTGATAGACCGCAGTCCTGAGACGATGGTTGGAACTGCTAAACCAGTGAGTTCATTAATGTGAGCCTCTGTTCACTGTTGATGTCTTTAACTCAAGATTTCTGTTCTTTAGTTCTGTTTCAACTGATGGTACATTTCAAGTGGCACTGACAAATTACTGTGATAGTAGGGTGCCAACCCAGCATCGTGAGGAAATTGGGGAGCTACAATGAATAGCGTAATCCGGTCATGAAAACTAGCAATGGCCAGGGGTTCTTCGTGCTGACCACACGTCACCCTATATCTGGTTGGATGATCGTTCACCTCTGCTTAGGCATGTGAACGTGAGGCCAGCGGTCAAGCTAGTCGGCTTTGGCTCTCTGGAGCTGTTACGCCACGGATTTAATTTTTAGTAGTGCATGTAAGATATTCACAATTTGGTTCTATTTCTGCCTTTCTTTCACCATTGTAAAAGTAAAGCTGTCCCACTATATGCCATGTAGGCGCTTGAGGGGAGAGGACGTATAGCTCCTACTCATTCTTGATGTCGGCACTAGATGGGGGTGAGTGGTCAGAATCACTCCCCGGCTGTGCTTTACCCCCAGGAAAGGACCCCAGTACATGTTGTTAAAAAGCTTTTTGTGGGGTTCTCGACTTATTTCAAGCAGAATCAAATATTCAACATGTAAATCACCAACTGAATGCTGTCTGTTCTCTGGGTTTGCTTCACTGTGTAGCAACAATTTTATGAATCTCTGTCATTAACAAATGTGGAGAATTCTTCACATATATCTACTCCTCATTCTTCAGCTATCCTAAGTTGGTTTGTCCAGATTCTAACCATAAAATTTGTACCGAAGTGCAGACTGTGAAAGCACTTTAATAAAATAAGAAAAGTATTTCTGTTTCTCTACAGTGATAGCTGCCATACAATTAAAGTAATAACAGGGCTTACCGTGAGACTGTAAGTAATTATGCCGAATCATGCAGTTATTACCTAAATTAATAACATAATACAGCCAATGTGATCTCACAAATTGAATATGGGTACTCAAGGTTTATGCTTCATTATATCCTGCTCTTATTGAAGACTGCCGATGTAACGCTTCTTTAACAGAGTTTAACTGTGTATGAATTTGTAATAAAGAAAAAGAATTTTCAGAAAATCGACGGACGAGTGACTTTCCGTGGTGTTTACTTCCGTTACCCGAGCAGACATACTGTTCCAGTCCTGAAAGGATTCAATCTTGAAGTGAAACCTGGACAAACCATTGCATTGGTTGGTTCATCTGGATGCGGCAAGAGCACTGTAGTGGCATTACTGCAATGCTTCTACAGACCGGACAGTGGGCAAGTAGTAAGCACAACAGTCTGCCATGAATTGTATTTATTTAAACCCTACACATAATAAAACAGCGTAGTTACCTTTATGTTTTTTCAACATGGTATGAGAGAAACTACAAAGGAAATCTTCCTGGACATGCGGGAGTTCGGATTTAAGAAATGTTTCTCCATATGCCTTAAGTTCAATGCACTTATTTATTGTATGTGTAGAGAGAACATCCAAAAAAATGTAAAAGTAGATAGTAGGATTTGAAGATCTCATGGTTGCGAGCATGAAGATGGTTGTTTTCTAGATTTTAGTGTTGTGCAGTCTGATAGATACTGACATTCCTGAGATACTTGCCCTTATGATGGAGCTAGCAGGTACCTCTGAAATTTCAGGAAACTTCTATCAATCTAAATGGCGCTACACCGCAGAAGACGGCCATCTTCATAAAAACAGATCTTAGAGAATTAGGATGGGACGGTATGGACTAGATTCATGTGAGATTAGTTAGCAGCAGTGGTTCTCAAATTTTTTAAACATGATCTCATTTTTATAATTTCTTAAACCTGTGACTTCATGCACAACAAAATGCCAGTTTTGACATTGTGAGGGTATCAGGATTATGTTAAGTTAGAGACCAAAAATATACATATATTTACAATCAAGATTGGGAAGGAGTCCACTGTAGAATACTCCACACAACAGCGATGGTGAGTCGGTGGAAAAGTTTAAAACTGTTGGTCTAGTGTTGGAAAGAAGAAATCACAAAAACATATTTTGATCTAAAACATAATGAATCACTACGTCCCTGGATTCTTCAAAATAATATCATCATAAGTATAATCTAATATAAATATTGGGAAGTCTTGTGTGCAAGGCAGTGTGTGCTATAGCATGTAGCAGCTGTACTGATATGTTGCAGATGGTGGATGGTCAGGATGTAAGCAGCATGGATCCAAATTATTTACGTAGTCACATCGGACTGGTGACCCAAGAACCAGTTCTGTTTGACTGTTCCCTGAGGGACAATATTGCATATGGTTCCACACAGCCCTTGGAGATGATCGATATTGTAAAAGCAGCTCAAGCAGCCAACATTCATGATTTCATCACAAGTCTGCCACAGGTAATACTTCCATAAAATATGGGAATTTCTTGACCATCTGAGTGACCATCGACCTATAAAGAGTTCTGTTTCATTGCAGGTAGCTACGTATCTATTTCTCATGACTTATCGTAAGTGAAGTAATATTACTGCACTGCTGATGTCAGAAAAGGCATATAATTTCATATTTTTTAGTATAAAAATAAGTAATAAAAGTTTTCTCAATTTCAGCAGTACCTCTAATTTACTGTTCTGTAAAATACAAACCCCCTCTCCATTATGAAGTATCAAAACGAACATCTCCTTGGTTGTCAGTCAAGCCACTCGCGAATGCAAGACTGCCTCATCTGCTTGCGTCTGATGATTCTGCCGTGGTGATACAGCCCTGTACTCTCAGACTTGGAACCTCCACAACGTATCTACCAGACAGATCACTTTCCAGGTGTTTCGACTACCAGAAACAAGTTCCTGTGCTATTCCATGGCTCGTTATTCAACACACTGGGAACCATCCTACTGTATCTGGTGAGATCCTTCCCCACTGAATGTAACAAACATTTTCTACTCCTATGTTCCATGTTGCAAATTCTTGTACCTGAAGTGACGATAGGTAATGGTACCTTATTTAAGAGTTGTATATTTGAGACGCTAATTATAGCCGTCTTAATAACATTATTTTTTGTTGGGCAAGGCCGTGGTCTAGGCAACCCGGAGTTTTCCTCCGTGGCATCCCAACAATTACTTCATTCACACACAGAAGAAGGCAATGGCAAACCACTTCTGGATCATCTGCCAAGAACGTATATGAACAGGTCCCAGTCCGAGAAAAGGATGGAAGGATCCTGTTCATATGGACGTGTCGTCAGACAGAACACTAAATAATAATAATAATAATAATAATAGTACAGAGACATTCAGATGGTGAGATATGTCCAACATATAAAGGAATATGGCAAAGCTGATAGACATGGCACATAGTAAATGGGGCTGAAGTTGTAGAAGATAAAGTAACAGCAAGGAAAATTTGAGAGCTCTCATCCTCTTCTCAGGATACTAACCATCCCACCTCCACACGTTCAAATAATAGATTAATGTAAGACCATCTTTAGAAGTGGTGGTATAGAAGTGGGTGACGTGACAGGATGTTGACTGGATGGCTTGTGTTTGATAAGTAGTCAGGATTTCGGCACATCAGTCAACTAACCAATAGCTTTGCTTTCTTTACAGGTGGTACAGACTGCACTGGATACTGCCTGTCAAGGCCGTACCTGTATCATTATAGCCCATCGCCTGTCAACTATCCAGAATGCTGACTCGATAGCTGTGATGCATAAAGGACAGGTAGTAGAACAGGGTCCACATGAGTTCCTCATGGAATTAAGAGGAAGGTATTATGAACTGGTGAAAGGACAAGGACTGTGATTAATGTAGCACTTTTCACACCAGGATCTATCGATGTTATGCCTACCTCGTCACATGTCAAAATATTTTGTATGATTAATTATTTTAACGCCACATTCCATATATATGTAATGCATACAGTAACTCTTCGTTTATGGATAAGCGTTCATGTTAACATGTGATTAATTTTCACTACAATTGAAATATTCCGAACCGTATGTATTATTTTGCATTTGGAGCATTACCTATTTTTACAACTTTTTAAAAACTTCCGAATGCTCGTTTATTAAAAATGCTGTCGATTATAAAATAAATATAAGTGATATCTGCAATATTTATCATCATTATTTTAGTGCATTTAATTTCTCAGGATACCCTGTCTAATTATTTCCTATAAGAGAAAATGCATTCACATTTAAATATTCACCCAAAAAACAACTTTCAATAAATGTATTCCTTTAGTCAAGTGAGAACTTGGCATGTGTGTGTGTGTATGTGTACATATTTGTTAAAATTGCACATTTTACCATAAAATTATTACTGTTACTGCTGTGTTTAACTTGGCAAAGCCTGACTCCACAACAACGTGGTACTTGCATGCAGCAAATTAATGGGACAAACGTATTGGCTGATTGAGATATTTTTGTAATGAATTAGAAACAACATGGATTTGGAATCTTCTAAATCAAAGGAAGAATGCTAAGCACCCAAGTGCAGTGTTCAGTGCAGAAATGCAGAATATGCCAATTCTTTTATAGTTACTACTATAAGGGCTGTCAGATTGTAAATGACCTCACTGTCACCAGCAAAGCATGGTACAATTCTTTCAGGTGACTCATTGCCCTAATGATGGAGGCAGCTAGGACCTCTGAAACATTAGTAGAGAACCCAGAAGACAGCCACCTTTGTAATTCATGTTACCGACTAAGATTCTGGCATTGCCTGCTGCTATTATTGAGTATCATCCGCCACATCGCTTTTAGTATAAAATTGGTTCCCACGCCCTCGAATGATTCTGATACCAATCCCCACTGGTTAGGGTTAGGATCATCCTTGACTGTCAGATTCCTATAACTCTAACCGTTTTCAATCGCGCGGCTTGGAGGCAGTAAGTACCTCTGAAACGTCGGTAACTTCTACCAGACTACACGGCGCAAGAGCCCAGAAGACATCCTTCTTCGTAATTTTGTCAGCTGTGGGTAGGTGGCAGCATGATGTTCAGATTGTGCGTCACTATTGTGTTGCTAACTTTTAACACTGAGATACCGATCTCTACGTCGGTATTATCCATGTTTGTATTACGTGTGTTTGTAATTGTGTGGATTGTATGTGGATGTTAGCTGGAGTAGTGTTAGTCGAAATGTGTAGTATGTAGCTTTGGTATTGGAGTGTACTGTTATTGTGTAAGAATTCACAGTTATGGAACAAGTGTTTGAGTAAAAGTAACTGACATAAAGTTATAATTAATGTTACATTGGGGACTGTAAAACGTTTGCGGTGTTGGTCTTTCGTAAAAGTTTAGAGTCGTTAATTCTTTAGTTTTCGTGGAGTCCTTTTATATGATGTCTACCTCAAACCTTCACGTTGACAGAGATTTAGACCTTTCAAATGCAGGCAGAGGTGTCTGGCTTGTCAAGGTAAGTGTATTTTGTGTCTTGAGTATTACTCTGAAAAGTCTTGTTCATTGAGAAATGTTGCTAATGCGTCCTGATAGGTCAAAAACTTACTCAGTGTGTACTGATTATACCGTAGCAGTACGTAACGGTGATTAGTTGCATAAGAAAATATGTTTATAATTGGGCTTATAACCGTAAGAGAAGCTCATGTTAAGATCTGAAGAACAGGTCTGTGAAAGTGACATGTGACTCATTTTAGGTTCTGTTAGGTTAAATTTGGTTATGTTGTTATATTGCACATACGTGAGAATTGTGATCGTTGCTTATACCACATCTCGTCTTACTCATCTGTTTTAACCTTTCAGTTCTTAACACAGTTCATTCATGTTGAGTCATTCTGTAGCTTTAGTTTTTCCTCTAAAATGACTAATTGCAGATAAATCATAGCATTTTACAATTATTTTAGAAACATTTTAGGAACAGAATCTTACAGGAGTATTAATGTATATGTAATTCTTATGTGTTGTGCTATGTAGCCTGTTGGCTGTATACAGTTAGACCTTGATACAGCACCCCTCTTTATATTACCACCCTCATATTGCCCCGATGATAGCATTGGAACAAAAATTCCATATGTAATTTCAAAGTCAGTCTCTCAGTAAAGCACTGCTCCAGCTAGCTCTCTTCTGCTCATATCTATGTCATTATGGATGTACTATTCAGCATTATAATTGGATCCAGTATAGCCAGTTTGTTTCCAGTGGCTATACAAACAAGTTCCTGGAATATTCAGTTGTAAAAATGTACCAACAACTTCATATAAATAAAACCTTTTCAAGTAAGAAACTGTCCATAGAACCTTGAGGAGGAAGTTGGGTTGTTACTTGTGGTCAGCAGTATAAATGGTGACACTTAAACGAAGGCACTTACAGCGAACCTTGAGGAGGAAGTTGGGTTGTTAGTTGTGGTCAGCAGTATAATGAAGGCACTTACAGTAAATGAACCTTCTTCTGGTAGGACATTGGTTTGCAAATAGAAATATTACAGAGGGGAAGCTATATATAGTAGCAGGCAAAATTCCAAGAAATCTAATAGAATGGTTGCAGGTCCACTTTTTTTCTGTTGGACTGTTCCATAATGAAACTATTTTCTACACATTTTCTGTGCATAACTAACATAGAATATGTAAAAACACTTCGGTTTGAATAGCATCACCAGAGTGAGGAAGCTGAATACACATACATACGGTTGTGTATAATTGCAATCACATTTGTGTGACATGGGGAGAAGGGCAATCATTTCCTGATACGAATTATACCATTTTGGCACCTGTTAACTGAATTTCTGTGAAATTCTGTCACAGCATCTGACTGTGGAAATGTGTGCACTAAAAAGTGCGCTAGCAAGACAACTTCGCCGAGAGTCAGATCTGCAAGCTCCTCCATTGAAGTCTGTTACTCCCATCAGAATGTACCACAAACTTCACATACTTCATCTTGGTCATTAAGTGATGAAGAGTATTGATTTTCTTCCCATAACACAGCTGCAACACTAACAAAACACATGAGTATAGCTGCATACTGTCATTACAGTATCATTCTTCTCCTATTATCACTTCCAACTACAGAAAAATTTCACTGTTACTGAAAACCATTGACTGTCAAGTCACTAAAGTTTTTTTCTTCTCATGTTGGCAGTACTAATAAATGAACTGTAAAAGGGAGAGTGGGAGGGAATCTGCATCACATAACAATGTGAACAAAGGGTAGGTATACCATTTGTAAAGTCCTGCACAAGAATTATGTGTTAATTAAGAACGTATCATGGATCAGGATAGCGACTAGCTATAGACTGGAAGGGTAGGGTTTGGTTCATGGCAGGGTCTTTCTCTTTTCCACCACATTCAGACACTCCTGTCCATTGTGTATGAGAGTGAGCAGCGGCCACAGAATGACGTGTTCATGGTGTGGTGCTTGGCATAACTTTGGGCATCTAAAATTTGACGTGAAAAAACGCACAGTATACAGTTTTGGTTCTCCAGCAAATCATGACTTCGGTTGGTTTCTTTCTGGCTTTGTTTCATTTGCTAAATTTTGCATTTGGCCCTGTGAGCTTTGCTTATACAAGAGCCTTTGTGTTTTTATGTTTGTTTCGACTGGTTTGATGTGGTCCTCCATTTTCGCCTATCTTGCGCCAATCTTTTCATTTCCACATAGTTTTTACAGCCCACATCCTCAAAAATCTACGTTACATATTCCACTCTTTGTCTCCCCCTACAATTCTTCCCTTCAACTGTTCCTTCCATTACCAAATTAACCAATCCTGGGTGCCTCCTATCTCTTCTTATCGTAAGATTTTCCCATAGACTTCTTCCTTCGCCTATCCTGTCTAAGACCAGCTCATTTCGTACTTTATCAGTCCACTTAATTTTCAACATTTCAAATGCTTCTACCCTCCTTCTTTCCAGCTTTCCCACTGACCATGTTTTGCTTCAGTACAGGGCTGTGCTCCGAACACATAACTTCAGAAAAATCTTTCTTAATTCCAGGTCAATGTTTGTCACTAGTTGACTTCTCTTTTTGTAGAAGGCTCTTTTTGTTTGTGCTAATCTGCTTATGTAATTTGTATGAGTTCCACTTGTAGTGAGATATTACATTCTTAATCTTTTCCAGGTTCCAAAATACATTGCAAACAAATGGGAGAAAGCACCTGGTAATATTGAAGTTGGGAAACTAAAAATATCAAAGTAAGTGAAGTCATATCTTTCTTTTAGCACAGTTCATTTTTTCCATTCTTATTTAATACTTTTATCAGTTGCATTTTCGTTTTGTAAATATACTCGTATAAGATAGACTCAAGTTGTCAGTATTGGCAGAAGTTTCTGGATTCTCTTAGAGTAATTTGGTCTGCAAGCGTACTGGACGGAGAGCTGTCATAGGATGAGAAATTTAGGGAGAATTTTAGATGTGGTGCTCTCACCACTAAAAACTTTGCCTATTTTCAAATTGGTGAAATATATGAAGGAGTTTGCATAGTGCATTTAAAAATGAAATACGAGATAAAACCGTGACTCAGGGTACAAAGACGTGCTAACAAGATATTATCAAGTATGATGAGATTTCACATTGGTGAGTCCGAAGATGGCTGTTTTTTTTTTTGGATTGTAGCGGCATGTAGTCTGGTAGAAGTTTTCCAGTGTTTCACACGTCCTTGTTGCCTCCATCATCACCACCCTGATGATGGAGACAACAAAGACCTCTGCGTACACAAAACTTATTGTTTTGTAAAAACAAAGCTATTTGATGTTTGAACCAGTTTACTCTTTCTGACAAATCAGGAATCCTGGGCAGAAGGCACAGGTGTCGCTAACGTTATCAGAGTCTGTGCTGTGCTTGAAGGAACCTGGGGAGGAGAACATTCCACGTGATCACCGCCTCGATGTTTCTACAGTTACCCGCCAGACACTAGGCATCTTCTCTCATATCACACGTATGTTAACATTTCTTTAACTTTGTCCTGGTTAGTTACCTGGTATCAAATCCTGACTGCTATTTAAGTAGTGTCTTAGATAAGCATTTTTGGGTAGCCGTAGTGGTAGTAGAGTATGAATCTCAAAGTATCTTTTGTTTTTGCATAATTATTTCTGTTAGAGTGTGCAACTACGCAAACAATAGACAAATTCTTGAGGATTACTGTCTTCTGGGTTATGTAAGATTTGAGGTTTTCACAGCGGTGAGTATGAAGATTTCTGTCTTCTGGGTTGTTGCGCTGTGTAGTCTGGTCGATGTTAACCAACGTTTCAGAGGTCATACTGCCTCCATCATCAGAGTATGAAGATTTCTGTCTTCTGGGTTGGAAGATAAATTGGAGGACAACATTTAAATGAATCTTGAATAAATAGGAATTGTATTATGACTTTTATTTTAGTTTTGAAGTCTATTTACCAACTTCACCATATACTTATGAATTGAACATAAAATAAACGATTCTTTTCTTCACATATTTCTATCTTGACAGCCTCAAACTCAGATTCCGTGGTGCCAGAAACTGAAAAACTCAGTATGGAAGGCAGAATCGTGCAGAAGTTGGAGTGCCGACCTTATGGTAAGTTGTACACACACAGTATTCAAACAAAAACTGATGAATGATTTGAATTCTGAAATGTTGAGCTCAGAAAGAATTTCAAAATAGAAGAAAGTTGGTACATTTTGTGGCAGTGACCAGTGTTAGCATAGTTGAATTCCCTTGTTATCATTTAGAAGTAAAGTAGTAACTACATGAATTACTTTCTTTAATACAGGGCAAGTCTAAATGATGTTCCCGGACCAGTACTGTTTATTGGGAAGATAAAAGTTAATAGCGTCATCTTACCAACTTGCTTTACGTCTTTATTCATGTTGGTGTAGAAGGAAATGCACGTAAGCTTTTGTGCTTTGAAATTTACAGCAGAAACAAGCATTTTGTTGATACACGTGATATGCCGGCCAAGAGCTATGGCGTTTAAAACAAAACTTGGAAATGAACAAAAAATGGTCCATCCATTTAGTCAAGCTAGCTGTCCTGACATCTTTATAGTTCATAACTAATGTGGTTGTATGCTCACCCATGAAGTGTTTTTGAGATGACTTTTCGGAGATCTCATACCTCCTGTGTCGGTTATCAGGCCAAATCTTTCATTGCGTGTTCCGCACGTCTTGAGAGATGAATGTACATTTTTGTTCAGCTTTTTATAATAGCCTGCATTCCTTTTTTATTTTAAAATGCTGAAACAAGTTTAATGTCATTGGATTTTTATAAAGTAAACTATTGTTTCAACATGTATTTTGTTGTAATACAGTATGTTTAAAAATTATCAAAATATGGCCATTTTAACACGAAAATGGTCAATTTAATTCCACGCACACTGCTATTAAATACTTCGTTCTGCTGTACTAATTGCGTATTAACAAAATGATCCTTTTAGTGGAAGTCCGTTGTGTTTTCTTTGGGGTAGGAAGTGAATTTTTATATTATTTAGATGTGTTTCAGAGGGTCACGATAGCTGTGAAATTGCATCACCTACTTGACGTGAATTAAAGGCAGCGGTAGTGGACTACCCACCTACTGATTTCTATGTCCTTACAGCGGATAGCTGCTACATGAAGTTAAAAGTGGAGACTATTCGCAAAGCCTCTGTTCCTGTGAGGCAGGTTCAGCAACTTGACAGGATAGTTCAGAACTTCAAACCTGTGTCAGACCACAAGCATAACGTAAGTTATATTTAATCCTAACCGGCACTTGATATAGCATAGATGTACATGTACATAGTGATCGTAAATAGTGAATATGTGGAACCTGAGAGGAGAAGATCAGTAGTAATGATCCAGACTCACGTTCAAGAGTGTCCCTGTTCAAATCTCCGCCAGAAGTTTGCTCTCTTGGCTGTGGTCTCTGTGGATTCTCTCAGCCTTTTGTAGTGAATGCCAAAATAGTAGCTTAAAATAAGCCATGACCTCTTCCTTTCCCATCGTTTATGATTCACCATTTTTTTTTTATTATTTTTTTTTTATTTTGAGTCTGTGCTTCATAACCACTGCAGTGGATGCGGTATCGTAAACTAAGAGGATTGAGGTTGACTTGTGTGGAGAAAAATTATGCTCAAAACATAAATTGGCCAACACTTTAAAAATATCTTGAATTAATTTACACGTGAGGCATTTGTTACGTATGTTCTAGGCATGTGCAAGTCTTGAATTTTTGAGATTTAATCAAGGAAAGGTAGTAAATGCGGAGGACTGCTATGGCGTACTCATTTGTTTTTGGTTACCGCTTTCAGATCGAGTATGAAGAGAAAAAGAAGGCAGAAGGTAAAAAGGCTCGTGATGACAAGGACAGCGTACTTGAGATGCTGTTTGCTGCCTTTGAGAAGCACCAGTACTACAACATTAGAGACCTCGTGAAGATTACCCGTCAGCCAATTGTAAGGTTTTAAGGGAAAAGTAAAATATTCTTGTCAGAATTCCATTAAAGTAAATTCAGAGCTTTAATTGTAAATATAGAAGCAGTTATTTTTACTTGCTGGATCGTATACTGCAATTATTCATGAAAATCTGCCTTTATAACTGTTGACTATATCGTTATGACTGTAATACAAAAAGAAGAACAGGTGGCATTAAAAGAGTGTTGCGTTATTCACACATCTCGTCATGATGCTGTGTAAGTACGGTGTAACCGCAGTTTCTTCGCACACTGTCGGCAATTGCGTTCGCTTTATTCTGCCGCTACATCTCAGTTTGTGCTTCATGGCTGTAATGCCACCAGAAAGTAACCTTGAATGGCTTATTAATGACAACATCCAAAGTTTGCAAAAGCTTGGTCGTCCCACTGGAGATTACAGCAAGATCGAAGTCTTTCCTTTTTCTGTTTCTGCCATATATCCATGAAAGCTGTCTGAAACCAAGACAGCGTGTTACATCACAGCGCTAGGCTGCGTTTTCCACACCACATTCAACCATTTGAGAATGAGCTTCTCAGTTATCCACTCCCTTTCTCAAACTCTCACAATAATTTGTGGCAGAAATTTGTCTGCTGGGAAAGTTTTCTTTCTAAAGTCGTAAGTGTCGGCAAGCTGTGACTGTCAGTTGTGATTGCCACCATGTTCGGTAGTAGTCGATTCCGGTATGTCGGACCATCTTACAGTCTGATCACTGTTTCCAGTTTGACAAAGTAGCCATGTTTATTTCTTGATGAAATCATAAATTTTTGAAAATAGTTTGTTTTTCTTCAGGTGTTTTTTAATAAATTGAAAGCTGTTGATGGTTCAAGAGCCATCAACACTTCAGAGTCATGAGGTGAGTTGATGATTATATCATTATTCGCGATCCTCTGCAGATTCACGTGACACTCCTGGATATATCGCCACTGATCATGCCTGTCTATACATTTAATAACTGTTGAGAGACTTGTCAGATTTCCATGAAATTTTGTGTGGACATTTAGAAACTACTCCAAACTCAAAGTAATAGTATTTTCTTTGTTTATGAGGTGTACCTGAAGGAGATCTTGAAAGAAGTGTGCAACTACAACCTTAGGAATCCTCACAAGAACATGTGGGAGCTGAAGCCTGAGTATCGCCATTACAAAGAGCCAGAACCGGCTCCCGCATCCTCAGACGACTGAGTGCACAGCCTTCTTCTTACATTTTGTGTTATACAAATGGCTCAGTAAGTTGCAGTATGACTTCAGTACAACCAGAATGTTGTTATAATAGATTTGTTTACATTTTTATGTGCTATAGTAAAAACTATTGGAGAGGTTCCAATCTTATTTTATTTATTTATTTATTTTTATTGGTTCCAAGTATGTGTCCTTACATATGTGCCCCATAGAGTCCTTGGCACATAATTTTGTTATATAGAAGTGAGTTTGGGGATGGGTTTTCACATACAAAATATGTTTAGCTTTCTCATGAGTAAAGAAGCATTTTGTTGTGCCTTGAATCCCTTTGTATTTATTGCATGTTAACTTATCATAATACTTGAGTTGACAGAATGTTAGTGTTCCGTGGGTATAAATAGTGAAGTTCATTCTTATTCTAGCAGAGTTAACTATCACAGCCATACATGGTCTTCGCCAGACTCGGTCTCTGCCTCACCTGGTTTCTTCCACACTCAGACTCTACTTACCTGGGCTCTGCCTGGCATGGTATTTGCCTCACGCGGTCAATGCAGTGACAGCCTGGCAGTGACCGGGTCATATTGTGCTACGATCGTGCAGAGAACGACTCCGGCAGAGACAATGCCCGTCAGAGATAGGGTAGCGCAGAGTCCGATATAGGCTGAGATATGTTCTGGCAGGTATCAGGTGGGGTTGATTATGAAGAGTTTTCAAAATTTTTGAAAAATCAAAAAATACCGGAAATTGTCCAAAATACGCACTAAACTAAAGAAATTTGAAAATATTTTAAAATTTTTTTTCAAATAATTCGAAAATATTTGGTTTTGTGCGCTTTTCAGACAATTACCAGCGTTTTTTGATTTTTCGAAAACTTTGAAATTTTTTTCAAAACTCTCACCAAGAGATGCATGCCAGACTCGGTGAATGACTCACCCTGTCCGTGCAGGACTCGGCCTCGATCCTTTCCGATTGCTGACTGCCTCAGTTTCTGCACAACCGGCCTATGCAGGGGTCGATGTGTGGCCGACCGTGTCCCTGCCCGTCTCGGTATCTGCCTTGCATGTTGCATCCCGCACGTCGGCTTATAGAAGACGGCACGTAAGAGACCGTGTGAGGCACAGACCGCGTTCATCAGAGACACAGTACATCAGACAGTCCGACGGCGATCGGTTCTGCATGGCATTAGGTGGGGTGAAATTTGAAAGAAATTTTCAAATTTTTTTCAAATCTCTCACCAAGAGATGCATGCCAGCCTCGGTGAATGCCTCACAATGTCTCTGCCGGACTCGGCCTCGATCCTTTCCGATTGCTGACTGCCTCGGTTTCTGCACATCCGGCCTATGCAGGGCTCCATGTGTGGCCGGCCGTGTCCCTGCCCGTCTCGGTATCTGCCTTACGTGTTGCATCCCGCACCT